ACCATGACTAAATCCAGACTTCAGGCTGAGTGACGGAGCTCACGCTTACCATGGACAGACCTTGAGTCAGCCCCATTTCATGCATGCCTTCCCAATGCTGTAGTAACAAATACCTTCAATTTAGTGGCTCAGAACAGCATATTTATTATTAGTATTAATAATATTATTAATAATATCGAGGCATGATCTCACTGTGCAGCTCAGGCTAGTCTTGAACTCACTTTGCAGCACAGGCTCTGCCTCTGCCTCCCGAGTGCTGGGATTACAGGGGTGTGTTGCGATGCCCAGAGTTTTGGGGTTTTTTCTAAGGCTTTCTGAGACAGGCTTTTGCTCTAATTTAGGCTGCCACTGAGCCCACGATGACCTTGAACTTGGGGTGATCTTCCTGCCTCAGCCTCCTAGGTGCTGGGATTACAGTTGTACACCACAAGAACCCACCTGACCCCAGGTTTGATCCTTGCACCACACACACACACACACACACACACACACACACACACACACACCCTACACCCAATTAGCAACTTGAATTGTACCTGCAACTTTATATACCACAGCTTGCCCCACGTCACGTTCTGGGCATTCATTCATATTTGGGCTGGGCACTGCTCTGCCTGCCGCTTCTGCCATACGCATTGCAGAAAGGACTAAGCCACGTGATCCACTTAACAGATGCAGAGAAGCCGTCTGACGAACCCAGCACATGCCAACTCCCCCTGCTGAAGGCACCCACGAGAAGCCCACAGCAAACGTCAGAACGGTGAGAGCAACGTTTCCCCTCTTGGTTGAAGACAGACAGGATGTTCACCCCCACCCTTCTGCTCGGCCTTGTCTTATATTTCCTGCTACAGGCAAGAAAAAGCAATCAGAGGAAGGAAACAGTAAGACTGGCCTTACCTAATTTGTTACATAAAAATTTGACTTCATTGAACAGAGGAACAGATGGACTTTCAAATTAATTACTTTTATTCTATGGTTATTAATTTTGAAGGTATCTTTTTCATGGTAGACCTTGCTAACTGGTACTACGTGAAGATGCTTGCCTATTACTTCAATTCCATATTCTTTTTTTTTTTTTTTTTGGCGGAACTGGGGATCGAACGCAGGCCCTTGTGCTTGCCAGGGAAGTGCTTATTCCACTGAGCCATCTCCCTGGCCCCAATCCCATATTCTTAAGTATATTTAAATCTAGATAGAAACGTTTGTGACTGGATGAGCGCATGCCATCCCTGCCACCAGCACTGCTCCAGCTAGCAGCAGGGCATCATCCACTCCACAGCAACTCCACAGCACGAGCACAAAGCTGAATTTTATACAAAAATTCAGTTTTACTTATTCTTACATTAGTGGGAGCTGACATCTGCAACTTATAGCAAGCACATACTTTTGTTTTCTACCTCTTAGCTGAACAAAAATATACACAATGTACTGCTTTCCTTAGGTAAGGCTTGCTTTTAATGAGAATATCATGTAACCCTTTCATGAACAAAATCACAAGGGTACTAATGAAACCATCTTTGGAGGAAGTACTTAATATGCCTCTTTTTTATTCATTTTTTAAAAATGTATTTGGCACAGGGAGCTTGGACTTGTAGCAATCCTCCTGTTTTCAGCCTCCCCAGTGCTGGGATTACAGGTGGGCGCCACCACACAGGTGGTCTTGGTGGCTGGCTCAGTGTGTGCCGGGGCGGGGCCGGCATGGCCTGTGGTGCCAGGAATTGAACCGCGATCCCTGCATTTGCCTAAGCAGGTGCTTAATCCACTGAGCTATCTCGTCCGGCCCTAACATGCACATCTTATTTACATAAATTCTCCAGCAAGCAATGGAGACCTCACCGCCCTTACTCTGCAGGCTCTTTAGCTGTCTGCCACATGTGCATGTGCAGTGCACCAACACTCCGCTTTGGAAATATCATACTTCTGTATCATAGTTCTCAAAAGGACTCCAAAGTCTCAAAATTGTGTATCTCCTTTGCCTTGCTTCTCTCTTGATTCCACCCAGGCTTCATTAATGGTTCACTTCACGTTATCAGATTCATCTTCATAAATTTTCCTTACAACATTCGTTAATCCCCCCCACTAGGATCTGTCTCGGCATCATAGGA